TTGGTGGGTGAATAGACAGCTATTCACCCACCAAACTGCAAACTATACTTAAACAGGGAGATTGTTGTACGATGTGCCGGCGGCGGTAGCACCATACCTTACGCTATCCCAGCATAAACTTGAATTCCATGAGCTCGTTTTGTAAGGTTGATAACAACAAAGGTTTTTTTTTTGTTTTGCTCTTCACTACACTGGAAGCACAACATGTACAAACCAAAACCAAGTAGAGTAGACATTGCCCAATTGAGAGCTCCAATGTAGATTAGCAATTATAACCAAGTCGGTTATTTTGAATGGTTTCTGAGCACATATCACCATTAAAAAGTAAACTTTTGTGGAATGCATTCAAAAGTAGTAGTTTTTATGCAAATCGCCGTGCACACTAAACGACGAATTCCCTTAAACACAAAAAAGCCGTGATTGCCAATTTCCTACCAAGTCACTGTACGCACTAAAACGAAACCTACAATCAACTGGAAGTGACAACTTAAAGTAGGAAGTTGTGATTTAGGAAATCTCACCTTCAGTCGACCTTCCGCCTCAGCGCTGAGCTAAAATGCTGAGGGTCACAGTACGAACTCGGCATTGGGCCGGATACCGATATCCGGATAGCCACTGGATGGAGGGGTCACCTGACCTCGGCTGGATCTGAAACGACTTCATTTCACATGATATTTGTAAAGGAAACATAGGAGAAAGTAGAAGAAGCATAAGGGGCTCACGACAGATAACAGATAACAGAGCAGAATTTTCCTAGTCCAAGACAGGTGTACACTCTTCCGGTGAGTCCCTGCATAGGACCGGAATTTGTGTGCTGTCGGTACCCGATAGGCATAGCTTGTAGGGTACTCGACTGGCAGCACCAAGAGATTAGGTTGGCCCGGGTAGGGCAAAGAGTCTCGCTCCGCGCAAAGAAAGAACAAGTCCGCCGAGCTCGGCGGCCGGTACACCGTACAGCCCGGGTGCTGTAACACTTCTAGCCGAGTTGCCACTGCGCTCGGTGACCTGTAAAAGCGGTCACACGCAGCCGTCCATCCTTTGGTGGAGGCCACAGGGTTTTGTGAAGGAGATCAGTCGAGTCGAACTCGGCCGTGCCTCAGGGAGTCTGACTTGGTTAGTCGGAACTTGGCGAGAACAAGACCGCACGTCTGTCCCGGTTGGGCCGAACCGCGAGGGGACTACCCTCTGCGGAGGCCATACAAGCGCCGACTTAACTCGGCGAGTTGTTGTGGTTTGTGTAAGGATTCCACACCTGACTGTATTTGTGTGTTCTGCTACGCCACAAAGTACTCGCGGATAACACACTAGTTGCCACTACACAAAGCCCTTTCCTTGCTAGCAAGCTGATTTGTGGAGAGGAGGTCTCATTGTCAGACCACTACGTGAACGGCTTCGCTTAAGCAAGACCTTGCAAAGATTTAGTGGCAACAAAATGTGGCGAAGTGGTTCTGCAAAAATTGCTGATCGCTGAGGTCCTCTTGCACACTGCGCCCGAACTGCCGACTAACGGAGTGGGTACTCCGATCTTCCGTGAAGTTGTAATGCTCACCTTGTGTACCCGTCGGTGGGCCGATTCGCTCTTCGGGTGATCTCGGAAGCGACGCTGGGGCTGGTTTCTTGGACTGTCTGAGTAGACA